TGTCGTCAAATATACCACCTCAAAGCAAATAAAGTATTAATAGTATAGGGTGCTGTCAGTTTCTTTGGGCTGGCAACATAATTAATTAATTATAGTCCACGTCACGACTTTGACAAGCATTTAATTTAACTGACGTCGCATCTGAGTAGGTACGGCTATCAGTAATTTAAGTTTTATGAAAAGCATCATCGGTGTCTAAAAATCAAATTTAAATTTTCATTAAAAAAATTGTATATAATAGATATTTATAAAAATCTTGTCTTAATGATTGATTTCTTACTTTAATTCCTATGTAAGTAGAGAACGTACCCAGCTACTCTGGGTGTCTAAGCTATTTATATCATGTAGTGTTGGAATATTTCATTGTTTCATTTTTTCTGTGAACATTGTCTTCTCTTGCTATTCATCCATCCAGACTGTTATTAAAAGCATTTAGTGACTGACTTAGAAGTCTATTATTTTTATTTTTTAAGCATTTAACTGCTAGATGTTTAAATCTAAAAAAAAGTATACTAGAAAAAAATCCACGCGGACTAGGCAGCAGACGGAACTCGAACCCGCACCATTCGCTATCTAGACTTAGAAGTCTCTTAAAATATAGAAATATGCTGCCGCGGACTTTTTTTGTAGATTTTGTTTGTTTTAATAGTGTTTTTTGTAGAATTTGATGTACTCTACAACACTTTGCTCTATTGTCAATGAATTCTGCAGCGTACGCGATATAAGGTTATTTTTTGGTATTTTTTACATACGTTGGGTTACATATCGAAGTTTGCATACGGAAGATGAACATAGTTCATCAAAGATAATGAAGGATTCTAAATGTAAAAGATTTTTTTGAATTTATCCAGTAGTTTCAGAGCCTATTCAATACAAACAAACAAATCTTTCCTCTTTATAATATTAAGTACAGAAAAGAAGTTTCACTTCAGATGTGTGATCCGTGCACACTATTTTTTTTATTTCAATCAGTCTAAAATAAATTTTAATAACATAATTCAATTGTTTCTACCTACACAATAATTTTAACTAGTTACGCAGTTCGATATCAGTTTTTGTTGTAAGTAGTAGGAGCCCGAGTGTTTTTGTTCAAAGGATGTCCATTATTGGCGACCTCAACTGTGATGAATGGTCGGTTGCTTCACCTTGCGTGTTTTTTGTTCACATCATCGCATGGCATCGATCGCCTGTTCACAAATGATTCATGATTATTGACGGTGGCGCGGGCGGTGGCGGAGAACCGCACTCATCCGTCAGCCATTGTGTAGGAAAATAAAGAGCTCAATCTCTGAATCGCTCGTGACAGATCGTTTACATCTGTATACGGTTAACAGTGCGACCAAGATTTTTTAGCATTTAACAGGAGGGCTCTGTTGGTCAAGAAGCTGTGAAATGAGGATAACAAAGTAGGTAAATGAAATCTTCTTTCTAAAGGGAACTTTATAATTTATAATAACTCGGACAGAGTAAAAGAAAATGTAAAAAAGGCTGATTTGCACCTTCCTCTATAAATAAAAGGTTTATTTATATATATATATATATATATATATATATATATATATATATATATATATATATATAATTAGTTCCAATTTCAGCCACGCGCCACAAGATCATGGTCGCACTGTATATCCCACTCAAAACAAGACCTAAGTCAATAGTGCTGATTTTCTGAATTTCTTTCTGAAATACTAATTTCGGTTCTGCTAACTTTATGCAAAGTATAGAATTTTATTCGTTTCTACCAGAAAAAATATAATAATATTTTATAATATTTCCAACACCAAATAAAATCGATAATCTACAATACTGAAATCTATACGTAATTTAACTTTATGGGAAATATCTCATTGCAATTAAGTAGCGCAAAAAAGAAAATACATATATAATATATATCGTATGACGTAACAACTTCTAAGTATAATATTAGCTCCTTTATATCAGTTTATGCTATCAGCCATCATTACTCTCATTAAATGTACGCCTGGCGACGAACACACTGACGACAATCCTTATCGCTCGTTGCAATCGAGCAAATTAGAAATATCTGATTTTAAATGTCGCATGACAACCAGTAGAAAACCCAAGTGCTCTACTCGGCGGACGACGAATGATTCATAGATAGGCTCCCAAGTCTGCGGTCTTCGTGCATAACCACCGAGCCGACCGCATTTATGAAGGGTCACATTTTCATGTTTTAATCTTTACCTGTACTTATAAGATGAAATTAAGTAATTCAATTGCTTGTTAGATCGTAACGTAGCGTAAGATCTGATCCTGATAATTATTTTCTTATTTAAAGTATAATTAATTACATATCATTTATTTGGAAAACCGAATCCCCGATAAGGTGGAAAATACTTGGAAAAACTAGGAAAGAAAGGAATTCTACTTACGATACCGATGATGAGTCTCGTTTATTTATCTACTATATTCTGCTTATTGTACGCTGTCTCCAATTTTTTTGCAGGGAAATTTTAATGAAAATCGTCGACAAAACCGGTAATTCGCCAACCCTAATCGCAGACCCAAATATCCAATCAGTGCTAATTTATTCATAACGACTTGTGTAGAATTACTTTTGAACACGCAAACACAAGTTATGCTAAGTAATTATTTTGTTTTAGACTTCGTCCGAGTGGGCTCGAGAATAAGACATGCAGTCCTGTAGTGCGCTTATAAATAATCCTAATAATCCTACAGGAGTCTCATATTTTTCTGGGTTACATGTACCTACCTAATTGAAAGAAAACCAAGAAAATCGTCGAAAATATCGAGCACATTATTCATAACTTACAAACGCAGCATCAAATTGGATAATTCTTTTTTTTCGCGTGCTTTGTAAAAAAAAAATATATGGTGTCGTGGGACACTAGGTAGGAACGAAGTTCCTTCGGCTAATGTAGAATCGACACAAATTGCAAACTCGCTTGTGTATGCGACTGTCGCGCCTGCGCACGTCTCATTTAACGGTTTTATTCCACGCACTTTTTTCCGCGGATTTTTTCTTACGGTTTTACTAATACATTTTTTTCAGTTCGGTCGCGCAGCAAAATCCCTATCCCCTCCAAGCCTGCCGTAAGGAACTTCGTTCCAATAAACTGACATATGTGTGGTGACACATACAATTCCGTTACATTTTTATGATTTTAGCAGGATGGAGCAGTAAATAATTTTGTCAATGTTTTTATAATAAAACTATTTTTAAAAGTTAGTCTCATGAATAAGGTTCGAGAAATTCGCAAACGCTGCGACCATTTATTGACAAAGACTTACTATGTTGTGTCTGTTAGCGTAACTATGTAGATATCGTAGGTCGCTCGCTGACAGATAACTAATAGTGTCAAGGATACAGTTGAATCATCACTTCGTCATTATTATAAGTATTAATTTAACAAAGTTAGCATGTGATAAAAACGACTATAAAAAAAAATCTCACCTGACAACGATCGGATATGAACCCAAGGCTAAATATTCATTGAAGAGGAGCGCTGTCTGGAAAATTGGAGGCCTCGGGCCCATTAGAAGCTATCAAAACGTGACGAAACACTCGCAGGCGGCAATGAAACGTGTAAAACTTCATTTGTAAACGTCAATATTTTTATTATATGTTAAAGTTTCAACTTTTGCAATAAACTTATATTATAATTATTAGTTGAGGTAGAGAGAAGCCCCTAAACACAGGCTATATTGGAGGAGCTCGATGGCGCAAGTGGTTAGCGTGTTCGGCTGCGATCGTTGAAGTTAAGCAACTTACGCAGTGTTCGGTCATTGGATGGGTGACCAAAAAATTTACTATCTCGAGCTCCTCCGTGCTTCGGAAGGCACGTTAAGCCGTTGGTCCCGGCTGCATCTGCAGTCGTTAGCAACCCGCCAATCCGCACTGGGCCCGAGTGTTGGGTCATGGCCTAATCTCCCTATTTCATCCATAGGGAAGGCCTGTGCCCCAGCAGTGGGGACAGGCGGATGATGATGATGACAGGCTATATTTGCTTAAACGGAGACTCCAATCGATCATAGTCAATAATACAGGGATAAGGATATTGAAAGAGGAAAATAAAGTATATATTATTTAAAAACTGAAAAATTACATGAGGCCGTCAGTGGCTCGAATGTTATGTATGCCGGTTTTCAAGGTGTCGCCTATTCAAAGGTCCCGCGTTCGAATCCCGTCGGAGCAAATGTTTGTGTGATGAATACGAGCTTTTGTAACTTAGTCATGGATGTTTATATTGTATTTTGAAATAAAAAATATACTTACATAAGTACAGTATATGTATTGTATCCGTTACCCATATCCCATAACACAAGCCTTACAGTGCTTACGTACTTTGGGGCTAGGCTTATCCGTGAGTGTCAGAAATATTAATTATTATTATTTTTTATGTCTTAAGCCTGTTATTATTAAAATCATCAGCTATTTAATACACATAAACTTAAAAAAATTAAACCTATTTTTCTAGTGTATAGCTTATTTAAACTTTTAAAATAAACTTCACCGTTCGATAGATAACAAATAAGGTTGGTCTTAAACGCCAGTTTGTATCAATAGATATGATACAAAACTTTAAATATGGACAAAGAATCATCCATGCAAGTGATTTAGTTCTCAGGTTTAGTTTAGTATGATGATGGGCGCCGCCTTGCGGCATATTTTTTGTGCTGATAATAAAAAAACTTGTAAGTAGGTAGGTATATGAAATAATCTTTGATATCTCGTCTGGACTCCACTCCTCCAAATTGATGAGAATGTTTTTAATATTATTGTGCGTGTGTGATAAAAAAATTTAGGTGATATAAAATTGGTTATATTTTCTACCAAACTTCTTCTTTTTAACCGACCCAAAAAAGGAGGATGTTCTGTGTTCGACTATACATTTTTTTATGTATGTTCACCGATTTCTCCGTCAATTGTGGACCAATTTCAAAAATTCTTTTTTTTTTATCCGAAAGAGTGCACTTCCGATGTAGTCCCACTGGAACCAATTTAGGATCGAATGGTGGAATCCGGGAAAACAGGGAAAACCTTCAAATTTCAAAGGCAAGCACGATGTTTTTATGCATGTTCACCGATTTCTCCGTCACTTGTGTGATTGTTTACTTGGACGACGTAATTTTCACAAAAATGGATGAAATAAAAAAGTTTTAATCAAAAAATAAACCGTTTTCGATTTTGAAGTCGGGTTTATTTTTGTTTAATTTTAAATAGTTTTGGTTTTATGATGTTTATTAATGAAGTTTATATTGCCGAGTCCACTACAACTACTAGGTAAAATATATATTTGAAGATTCTAAAAAAAAATGTTTTATATTTATTACTCCTCTTAACGGTACCCTTAGTACGAGTTTTACAATTACGAAAACTATGATAGTTTTCGTGAGCTCGCAGTCGTACTAAGGGTACTGATTTTATTGTTTTCGTTTCAATACAAATAAACAATGTTTAAATTCTATCATTAAATCATTTGCAAGACACAAATTTTAAGTATATTTGATTACTTTACACCAAAATGGACATAGAAACGTAATTTACAATTACGAAAACTATGATAGTTTTCGTGAGCTCAAACTCGTACTAAGGGTACGGGTTTCATGGTGTCGCCGACTCGAGAGATTCGAATCCCGCTGGGGGCAGATGTTTGTGTGATGAATACGAACATTTTACTCCAGTCATAAAATATGTTGAATATGTATTTCTATATAAATATACTTACATGTATACAGGATATGTATTCTATCCGTTACCCTAGTATCCCAAAACACAGGCCTTATAGTCCTTACTTTGGGGCTAGGCTAATTGGTGTGTGTTTTGGTAATATTTATTTTATTAATTTATTTACTTGATTTTTCAACAAGAACATATTCTGTAAACCCAATGTATTTACTTTCGTCAGACATACGATATTTTTTAGTTAAGATTTAAGACTCGATATTGAATCTATTTTACATTATTTGCTTTTACATTTAAGTGTAAAAGGACGCAGTGTCTATTCATTATGTTTGCATAAACACTGGACAGCAAATTGACCGGATCACCCTTTAGTACCTTGGATACAAAATACCTTGGTGCTCAGCTTCTGTTCTTTGCTTCTGCTTCGATTTAAAAAAATATATACAATAAATCTTACAAATATCATAGCTATATCTACCGAAAGTATCTTTCATGCTGATTAAAATGACAAAAAAAAATGCTAACGATTTGCTTATTTTTCAATAAAGTTGCGATCATTATAGGTACCTCCCTATTTTTAAAATGAAGATAGTCTGAAACTTCTTATATTTTTTTTAGTTTTTGTCCATCGTTTTCACAGACCTGTGTATTTTCGGTACGATTTTCACTGCCGAATAACAACAGAATAACGACTTTATTTGAAAAAAATCTCAGTAAAAACATTATAAATTGATTGATCTCAATAGTTTTCTGTTTATAATAATCATCATGAAACACACTTTCTATAGGTATAACTTTCATAGTTGTAAATTTTATACTTGAAAAATCAAATCAGAGTTCCGCGGTACCAAATTACCATGTTTATTTGCTGTCTTACGTAGGATATGTGCTTTACTATACTAAGGCTATGTTTATCACACCTATGAAAAAAAAACATTACATACATATTTGTGAAAGACCTAGATGTTTCGCAACAATAGGTAACCCACTCACTTAGCTGTATCATTATTGTAGTTAAAAAAATACATTGGATTTGTCAACCAAACGTGGCACATAACGCTTATCTGTTGCTCGTTCGAGATAACGCTTGTGGTGGAAATCGCACTCCATACCTGCCCGTGAAGATATCACACGATTCATTAAATTAGAACGTAATTAATTATGATAGCAATTACTAAGAAATTAATGTTAGCGATTCGATCATCATATTGACTCGTGGTTCCGGCACTGTTTGAACAGGTGCTGACTGCGCGTGCGCCATCGATGGCAAAAACACATTATGTATTTAGGTACACAAAGCACTGTTCAGGTAAAATTGTATTTATTGATCATTCAACAATAATTGCACTTAATGTTTATAACGTTATTCTACAATAATAAATCATATTAACATTAAAATCGAATATTCTCATTTGAATATAGTAAATAAATATACATTAAAAAAATCAATATCACTATTTACTATAAACGAATTGTAGCAACTAGGGTATGTATGTACAATAAATTTATTCAATGGCAAATCATAGAAGGCAAAAAGTATTTTACATCAGCGGAGGGCGTGGGAGCGGCGAGACGAGCGCGCGCCCCGCGAGCTGGCAACGCCGCGCGCGCGCGCAGCCTTCGTTGCACCACTACGTACGGTACGGCCATTATATTATGTACAAACACGCTGTGACATCGCGACACATCCACCGCGACGACGCACAACACGCACACTTCACACGCGGCTACAGTTTCTTGACGATGTCGAACTTGGACTTGAGGTCCATGGGCACCTTCTTGGGGTCGACCTTCTTCTTGGCCGCGAGGTGCGCGCGCATCTCCGCCGCCGTCATCTGCAGGTTGAGCCGCGGCGCCTCCTTGTGCTGGGCCGGCGGCGGACTGTCCTGCTTGTTGCCGGCGCCGGCGCTGGCGACGACGGGCGGCGCGCGCTGCTCCGGCACCGCGTCCAGGTCCGGCACCGGGTCTCCGGGCGCCGGCGCCGCCACCAGCAGCTCCGCGTCGTCCGGCCGCTCCTTGATGCGCGCCACCACCTGCTTGTGTGTCTCGCCGGCGATGCTGTGCCCGTTCACCTCCAGGATGCGGTCACCGCGCTTCAAGCCCGCCGTCTCCGCCGGCGAGCCGTCGTCCACTTTGCCGATATATTGACCCGGTTTCCCTTTTTCCGCGTGCAGGTTGAAACCGTACCCGTCGAAGTCTGGCGACTTCCGCACGTGGCAGAGCCGCGGCTCGGTCGCCGCTGACCCGTTCGCGGACATTCTGACTGCGGTAGTGACACCCGCGCGGCGCTAGGACTGGCCCGAGACTGGTCGCGCGCGTCCCTCCCTCCGCAGCGAGGCTGGCGCGCCCCCGCCGCCCCGCGCCCCGCGCCCCGCCCCCCTGTCGCACCTGCCCTGCGCCCGCACACAGGTGAGAGGAGCGCGGGGCGAGGAGGCGGCCGTCGCCAGTGTGCAGTGAGTCGCCGCTGAGGCGCGAGGTATCGCCGCGAGTGTTGTGTGTGAAAGCCGGCCAGGAAAAGGTGTCACATCCCTCCAAGAAGTTCGGAATCATCGAGGTGAGTTCTGCGGACCATGTCGAGGCACGCGCCACGTCACCGGAGGTCTGGTTCGAGGCCGCGCACATGACATGCGCGAGCGTCGCTTTCCCGTAACGTTCAACGCTGGTATCCTACATTCGACTTCTAACTGGAATTTTGAATGGCGGTTATGTAGAACGAACCGGTAACTCGGCTCGGCAAAGTGGACTCGCTATGACGGTAGCGGTGTAGGTTATCGGAATTATTGGTCGTATTCGTAGCGACATCGGGCACAGAACGGAGTTGTTGTGTAGAATGGTGGCAGCGTACGTGTCGGCGCGGCGGAGGAGGCGCACACACGGTCGTTGCTCCGCCGCCGCCCGCCGCCCGGCCGCCCGGGCCGCCACGCCGGTCGCTTCCACCAGAACCGCGACTTAGGAACGTCTAATAGAACCAACCGAGCCCCGGACAGTTGGTTCCGGCGACGATGTCCCACCGGAACTGGACTTGTAAGGAGTTCCTGCGCTGCCCGACGCTGGGACGTGACCGCACATGCTAATTTAATCGACGGGCCATATGATTTTGTCCATTTACATGCACACACGAATAGTTGAATCGTTGCTCATTAATATGCCACAATAACAGACTACCCTTGCAGATCCGTGTAAAATCAACCAATAAATACCGTGCAAAAGGGAAGAGACAAAAACAATAAATGAGATTCCAATAAGACTCAACACTCATAACTTTAAGGATATGGATTTTCATTTCGAATTGGAGCGCTGGTCTGGAAAAGTATCATCCACTTTATAAATGACGAGAGTACCATAGATAACACTGCCTTTTGGTGTGGTCGTGCTTCTTTTATCACAGTTTATAATGTGTCGGAAGGAAGCGAAATATTCTGCTTGAAATCCAACTAATGAATTTCTTTATCTTGTATGACTACATCTTAAATAAGAAATACTTTAAAAATTTACTCGACTATTTCGAGACAATGAATGTGTTTTAAAAAACCCTATCAATAAGTAATTACTGAGCAGTTATTGATCGTCACCAACCAAATCAAAACTCAGATTTGATAGTGATTCATAGTAATCATGTTGTAAAGTGTCATTATCATGATTTTTAAAGTGCCAAAGACAATACTTGAAGGATACGGATATGACTCAAAACATTTCAAAAAAAATATATCAGAACGTAGGTAACTTATAAAAAATTTTGCTTCATTCAAAGTTTAATCTGTTAAGTAGGCCTGAACAAGCAATAAAAAAAATCCTTGCTAAAAAAAGAATGAATCACAGTTTATAATGTGTCGGAATGAAGCGAAATATTCTGCTTGAAATCCAACTAATGATTTTTTTTTTCTTGTATGACTACATCTTATATAAAAAAATCTTTAAAAATTTACTCGACTATTTGGAGACAATGAATGTGCTGTGAATGATCTTGCAACTCGGAAACTGTTGAATTGTCTTAAGTTCACACGGTTTGCCTCTGGTGTCTGTTGTGGGAACATGCAAGCAAGCGCACTTACAAGCCGCTCCCACGACTATCACGAGATGTGGTCGCCATTAATCGCACTATCGCGATGGACAAATTCGCTCTAGGCCAAACGACCTGCATACTGATAAACTTAGTAAAAACAAAATTAGATAAAAAATCTTAGAACATTTAGATAATACAGCAAGAATATTGAAACCAAATAACAAGATGGACAACCCAGATGACACTGAAATAAAATAACTAGATGGACATAAGCATGATGTTAAACAAGGATTGTATAATGGTTTTATTAAATTTGTGAGATAATCGTACATTTTACTTAATCATCATAATAATAAACAAAGGTGTATCAATTATACGAAGTTACAATTAGAAGAATCCAAAGAAAATATATGTGCGTAAAAAGAAAGTGTTCGGACCAACCGGGCTATTCGCTAACTTTTTTGACATTTACAGTGTGTAAGTAAAGAGAAAATTGCATATCCATCTATGCTTTTCAAACAAGAATCTTAGTGGCGTTATAATAAAGCAGTAGTGGATCACTTAATAGCTCGGTGATTATCACTTCCATCCGTCAAAAGCAGCTAGCAAACAGGCCTAATGGAATAACTGGAGTTATGGTAATGTCATCATTATGAATATCATCTCATAATTTGGCTTACAAACATACAATACAGGTTACTCAAGAACACAAAGGAACACCTAAATGGAAATAGTCACATTACCTTTAAGCTCATTGAAGTAATGGTGACTCAATTCTAGCAAATGAAGGAAAAAACACATTACAGTTTACTGACCGTTTGCGGTCTGTGGAGAAATTCTACCCGTAATCGTAGGTAGCTGCTGTAACATCAAAAATCACTCATCGGCTTGACGTGTTCAAACGAATTATTAGTTTGTGGTAATTATTCAATGGAAATACCACAATGGCCTTATAATTAAGTATTATTGAAATCAAAACTACATAACACACACGTTATGGCAGATTTTTTTTTATTCTTTCTTAAATGAGATCTACCGGACCAATAAGTTTAAGCCACATTTGGTCCAATATTTATCATTTTATCCAAAACATTTGCACATAGGTTTTATTCGTTCACATCTGACTCATTCTTTCTACATAACAAAAGAAATTCTTATCATTGGTGTGTTCTTGTAAGCTGGTAAATATTAACGTTGATTATGTTTATTACTTAAATTTATATTAAGACCTTATTCATTATAGATAATTAATAAAATAAATTACCAATTCGAATTTAAAAGAAACAATTTGCTGTTCGTTTGAATTATTCAAAATATCTCACCATTTAGAAAAAATTAGATAATATTTTATGAATACCTACTATGTTATTTTCAGAGTTTTAGATATCTGATTTTTCCCATTCGAAAACGGCACAAAGTACAACTGCATTCTTAACCAAATGAGTGCCATAGTCCGTCAGATTACGCAAGCAAGGTTGGTTGGTTCACAAATAAACGCACCCATGCGATGGTAAATATACATAGTTAATTTTATTATGACCTTAATGGCTCAGGTAATAAAAATGGTAGTGATACACAGGTGCGTGAGCGCATGCTGGTATAACAACGTCACTCGAGGTACAGTAGATAATTATGTTCGTATGCTGGCCTTATAAGCTAGATTAAGTGAGCTTAAGAAAAATATAACCGTAGATAAGTATGCATGCATTTTGATTACAGAACCGGAGACTTAACAGTAAAAAACAACGCTAATTGTTTTCGAAAGTATTAAAGTAAAAGCTAAGAATTTGATTATTCATATCTTTCACTAGAACCTACCGCTAGAAAGCATTTTATCACTTAAAATTTATAAACAAATAAAAATTCCCTAACAATTTGCAAAAGCTGTGTTCAGTTTTATGACTTATATTTCGAATATATTTTTTTATTTTGAAATATCTTGCAAAAATATTCCATTTATACCTAAAAAATAAGATTTATCTTGTTCGAATTGGAGACAAGCACTCATTGGAATAGTTACAAAAAATTTTTCCCACCAACCGTAAAGGGCTTCGATAAACTTTTTATAATGTATTATTATCATTTATTTTTCATATATATTTCGATCCACATTTAAGTTGCATTTTGCTGTATTCTCCATGTTATGCCAATAAGAAAGAAACTGATATAAAATTAACAAAATTTTTAGAAGTCTTGAATCATATTTTTTTTTAAACAAGATTACACTATCCGAATTGGAATCCATTCAAGAGCAATCGGTTCATTCATTATTCAGTGACTCGTAAAAACTATATTGCAATCCAACCCCTCATCATAACCAACAAGAAACTGTAAATTCTCCAAAACTAAGCTCGTTGGCGACCTTGTAACCATTGCAATGCAAACAGTGCAGCAAATAGATAGATCTGCATGAATGGTTGGGCTTCGCAATAATTTTGTTGCATTATCTAACGAGCTACGGATGGATAGAGACAAAGCCGTAATTCGTTTGTGTGAATACGTAGATCAATACAATGGCGATGAGTGTGCGATGGCGACGTGACTAATCCTAGCCTACGCTTCTTCTGTAATCTAATAACTGATTGTGTCGTGATCGTACTGCTTGGATGGCTGAGCTAGCTAGTCTACGTTTATGAGGAGTTTTTCATTATTTACAAATTTTATTGCGTTCATTACTTCACAAACGATACTCAGTTGTTGTAATTGATAAATTGTTGTGAACATTCCAGTATTTCTGAAGTCATACTTCGAACAAAATCAAATTATCTAAATCTAAAGACAGGACTTCGAGAATATTGGTTATGACTTGATTATGATTATTTACTTATTAATTTCGTTTTTCATATTTTCCTTCTTCACTAAAATTGGACTGATGACCTAGCTTGATCATGTATGTGTATTGGATGTTTGAAGTTGAACCTGGGGGCCATTCGCCTAACGGAAATGCTTGGAAAACGCTATGGCTTACGATTTCATTTTGTTATTTCTAGCCGCCTGAGGTTTTCAAATGCCTCGCGCTTTTTTTTCTTTTGCATAAGTAATAAAAATATTAAAAATGTGAGCGTAAGGTATTTGAAAACCTTCGGCGGTCAGAAATAACAAAATAAAATCGAAAGTGTTAGCGTTTTCCAAAGCATTTCCGTTAGGCGAATGACCCCGTGGACCAAGTAGAATATTTTCTTTAGATTTGAACATCTAACAGTTAAATGCTTAAAACATATAAATATAATAGTAAAATATTTTCAAACGTATAGAAAAATTTTACTTGCAGTTAGAATTAACAAGAACTATGGTATTGAACTCGTATTTCGATCTGTGCTCATTTGTTGTTTTTATGAAACTACACAAAATAGATAAAAATACAATCCCATGTATTGTTGTATAAATTATTAGGAATTAAAACCAGAATGAGGAGCTCGATGGCGCAAGTGGTTAGCGCGTTCCGCTCCGATCGTTGAATTTAAGCAACTTTCGCAGTGGTTGGTTCTTGGATGGGTGACCGAAAATTTACTATCTCGAGCTCCTCCGTGCTTCGCAAGGCCGTTGGTCCA